TCCCGCAGGCCAGCGGTGCGGGTGGTGGCCGGGGCGGACGGTGGGCTCTCCCTCCGACCAGGCTGGCCTTCCCCGGCGTCCTTGCGCCACCTGCACGTCTCCTGGGGCCGGGAAGGGCGCTGGCTGCGGGCGCCTGCCCACTGACCAGCCCTGGCCGGGGGCTTCAAGGCGGGACGGCCGCCTGGCCTGGAGGCGGGGGAGCCGCTGTCCCAGGGTGCCCCAGCACCTGGCTCCCTGCTACCCTGCCAGGTGGGGTTGGCCAAGGCAGGAGAGGGCCCCCGCTGGGGCAGCCCCGCCGCGTCTCCTGGGTCCTGACGCCTAGGCAGCTGCCGCCGGTGACAGGTGGCGGCCGCCTGGAAGTCAGGCCAGGCTGGCCAGGCCCTGGCCCGCGGTGCCCAGGGCCCAAACCCATGATGAGGAACCGGCGGCTGGGAGTTCCTCCTGGGCACCAGCCCTCCGTGCCTGGGCGGGCTGCAGCTCTGGGGCGCTGGGGGTTATCGGTACCGGCACCCCCAAGGTCCTGGGGAAACCCTGCAGGCTTCCTGCAGCTGGCAGTGGGCTTTGCTAGTTTTGGCCCATTTTCTGTGGTGCCCTTTTTTTTAAGAAAGCGCCTCGGGGCCCTTGTCGCCCGGCTGCCCCCACGTGGCTTGCCCACCGCCACGTGGCTTGCCCACAGGACTCGAGCGTCGCTGTCTGGAGGCCACGTGGGGCTGGCGGCCTGCTCGGATGGCCCCTGCGCCCCACTTCTCTGCGAGGGGAGGGGGGCGTAGTTGCTGGCGGGCTGGGCGGGCTCCCTGAAGGCCGGGCTCCCGCCCCCACCCCGCGAGGAGGCCCGACCGCTCCTCTGCATCTTATCTCCGGGACCTCAGCCGTCACCCCAGCCGTCACCCCAGCCGTGCTTATCTGGGGTGCCGGCACCGGGAGTCGGCTGCTGGCTGGGCCCAGTGTGTGCCTGCTCTTCCCCGTGGGCAGAGCACCTCCTCGGCGAGGAGCTGCCTGGAGCTGACGCCCCCAGCGGGGGAGGGGCGGCCCACGAAGCCTTCTTTGTTCAAAGTAACGTCTGGTTTTGAAGTTTTGAAAAGAAGCAGGAAGGACAGTAACAATCAGGTTACTCAGGGCCAGAGCCCTGAGGCGGCCAACTCCACCTTAAGGGCCTGGCCCTGCATCTGGGGCTCTCCGGGGCTCTCGGCAGCCCGGCCGTGGCCCTTTGCGCCTGGGCCAGGCCTCAGCCCCTCCCAGCGCCTCCCCACCAGCTCCTCCGCTCAGGCTCCGGGCCTGCCGCTGTTCTGCTCCTGCCGCTCAGGCCAGCCCCAGGCTGGGGCCTTGGTCCCTGTGGTGAAGCTCAGTGAAGCTCAGTGAAGCGGGGTGACTTATTGTGATGCAATCTGCACGCCTCTTGCCGCAGGTGCAGAGGAAGGAGCTGGCTGGCTTGCTGGCCGGAAAGGAGGTGTGGGGACGCCCCCTCCTCCCCCACCCCGCCCCCACTGGTGGGCAGGCTGGGCTTGCTCAGTGGCCTCTCCCCAGCTTCACCTCCACCCCCCCACCGCGGTGGCCCTCCCCCCCATCTGCAGCCCCGCCTGCCCCAGCACCTTGGACAGGGTCAGGGCCTTCTGGCAAGTTGCCTCACCGGAACTCTCCTGACCTGCCGGGGGTGAGCTGCCTCCTGGGCACCTGCCAGAGGAGGTGGGGTGGGGTGGGGTCGGCCAGCTTCCGGGGAGGTCAGCCCGGCTGCACGAGCCCTAATCCGGAGCCCGTGGGGGCTTCCCGTCGGCCTCGGCCTGAGCGCCCAGCCAGCTTGGTGCTGGGCTCGGCCCCCAGGCTGCGGCAGGGGCCGGGCAGGGAGGGCGCCGGCGAGGTGGACAAAGGGCCTCTCCAGCCCCTGCCAATCTGGAGCCCTTCCCAGACGAAGCCCCCCGCTGGCCGGCTTCCGGGGGAGGGGCCCTGGGCTGCTCCCTGGTCCTGCCTGTGGGGAGGGCCAGGTGGGTCCGGGTGTGGGGGGGCCTGTGCCTCATTTCAAGTCCATCCAGCGAGTCCACGGAGCGCCCGTGAGAGTGGGGTGCTGAGTGCTGGGTTTCCCGCGCAGGGCTGTGCACCCCTCGCCGGGGAGGCAGGTGTCCGTCTGCAGGGCCGCCTGGCCAGGGCATCAGAGTGGGCCCTGGTCCCCCACGCGCCCGGCAGGGAGCTTGAGCTCACGGGACGGCCCCGCCTCCTCGTGCTGTGCAGAAGCTGCCGTGCAGTCGGGGTCTCCCTCAGCAGCTTGGGGCGCAGGTGCAGCTGCCTGGCGGGGCCTTGCTGGCCGCTTGGGAGGCTGAAGACCTTGCGTGGCCTTGGGGGGCGGCCGTGGTGCCGGCTCGCCAGGACGCTCCCTGCCGTGCCCCGCTGTCTCCTCACAGTCCTGCTCACGGCCGTGAACTGCTACAGCGTGAAGGCCGCCACCCGCGTGCAGGACGCCTTCGCGGCCGCCAAGCTGCTGGCACTGGCCCTCATCATCCTGCTGGGCTTCATCCAGCTCGGGAAGGGTGAGTAGGGGCTCGGGGGCGGGGGGCCGCTCGGCCGTGGGGCTGAGCCTGGAGCTCTGGGCCAGGGGTGGTCACAGCGGGAGAGACGGTGCCCTGGAGACCGGCACTGCAGGCGGGACGGGCCTCTGTGGCTGCCTGGCCCGGCAGGCCCCGGGGGCAGCTTTTGGGGGCCGGCCATACCCCACGCAGGCACGGGGCCTGCAGACGCCCCAGCAGAATATCCTTCAGCGAGGGGTCCTGGGCAGCCCCGTGCCTGCGTCCCCACGTGCGTCCTGGAGCATCTGCGCGCCATCCTGGCAGTCCTGGCTGCGCTGCTCCCGCACCCCGCTGGCCACAAGGCTGAGGGGGGCGCTCAGGGGTCAGAATTGGGTGCGCGGGGGGCTGTGGAGGCTGCCGGGGTGCTG